GTCATCCTCAGAAAAACAGTATGATGTTGTAATTACAAAAAAAAACTTTTTTTTCTTACAAACTAATTCATTTCAGTGAGCTATTTCCACCTATTAATGAAAACTATAATATAAAAACGGATTCTAATAACAATCTAAAATATATTAAAATTATTAAAAAGGAAATTTTTTGGAAGCAAAAACGATTTAGTGTAAGACAATAGAAAAATAGCTCATTAAAACAAAAGTTCACTATATCGCAAACACTTAAATTCTGTAAGTTTAGTCAAAAACTATTCTTTGACCATTCAGCGAATCAGTGTCAATTATAATAAAATTAAATTGGATAACTTTTAATACACTTAGAACGTTAATCGCAAAGAAAAAAAAAAAGAAAAGAAAACTCTGATTAATTGTAGTCCAAATGGATATCAAAATCAAAACTGAATCTTTAATAATTTAATTTTAATGTAACGACAAATGTACACCAGGGCCACCAATCTCTTCTCTTGTTCCGAGCATTACCAGCATTTGTGGTGACCTCATAGCTATGACACAGGAAATGAAGAACTAATATTTAATATGGCTAATATTCTTGAGGCTTCCATGGATGCTTTCTATATAAAGATTATGCGTTTCGCGGGTTTCTTCCATATCCAGACACGGAGGAAACCCGCGAAACGCATAATCTTTATATTTAATATGGAAATCATCGTTTCCGGCCAATATTTTTATCGCGATATGAGCAAATAATTGCGTCCATTATGGACGCTCACGCGCTTTAATCCGCATAAAAATATATTACTGCTGTAGTGTTACTACTAGTGCAGAAATTCGTGTCACTATACTGTTCCTTGCATTTATATTCCAATCATTTTTATATGTATTACAATAGTGTTGTAATACACTTGTAGTACACTAGACAATGCCACTACTCGTTCCAGCAGTGACATTATTGCATTAATAGTGACACTGCTCGTTCCAGCAGTAGCATTTGCACATTACTACACTACTGCACTAGTAGTGTCACAACTCATCCCAGTAGTGATGCTACTAGCAATACTCTCTAACGCCAATTTATAATTACACTACTAATCACGAGTAGTACCATTACTCATACCAGACACTACTGTATTTCACTAGTGACACTATTACACTAGCAGTGACACTAGTAGTATATTTTTATGCGGAAGCATAGTCAAACGTAGCAACACCGAGCAACACGTAGCAAATATGGCGATAAAAATACCGATCGGAATGTGCCAGAAACGATGACAGCCATATTGAATATTAGTTCCTCATTTCCTGTGTTATGAGGGCGCCACAAATGTTGATAACGGAAAAACTATAGCAGTTTGTGGCCCTGATGTACACTGATTATCTGGCAATAACAACGCTCCGATATTTATAGTCTATTTACAATTGAAAAGTACACTGAGAGAAAGAATTTTGTTAATTTAACAAGCCACCAGTACCTTTAGCTGGTGATCGGTAAATATTGTATGTGACAACAAATTTTGTTGTGAATGCTGCTAGTCTGCTATACCATTATTAATAACAGAAGCAAATTATATAGAATTTAATCTATCTTTTGGATAAATTTTAGGTTCATTTACATTAAATTCGTAGATGATCGTGGAATCTTAAGTCGCAGGAAACCGACCACAGCACAGTGTAATATAGGGAGAATACTTGAATAGAATTTGTTAATTTCTTATGATTTGAGACCTTGCAACCGTCTACAGCTTATGTATATGTTGAAGTTTGCAGTTCACAACTACGATTGTTGGGGATCCAAAAGAAAACAGACGCCTTTATATTGACTCACAACAAAACTCATTTATCGCACACTCTAATCTCACAAAACAGTATCTAGTCTGTTCAAAATGATATCGCAATAATGTATATCGAGTCATGAAAAAAGAAAGCGTACCGGCTGACAAGCGAGAGCAACGCACAGCGCAGTAAAAAAAAGGTATAAAAGAGATCGCAATAGAACTAAGAATGTATGCGCGCGCTTCACAGTGGCTGCCATGGAAGAAGCGATCTACGTTACCATGTGATGACTCGGAAAAAAAAACTAAAAGGATGAAAGAAATTCCAAACTTAACAATATATATGAACCTCTTATTTGCTAGCGATACTATTGATTATTTGTTACATTGACGAATTAATTTACAATTGTAATAAATCGATCGTTTTTTTAAACAAATCACATTTGCTTTGATTTGTTCCTATAATAAAATCATTTCTCTCAGTATAGGCCTTGGGAAGCCCCTCCAAGTCTGTCTGCAGATTGAGGCCACGTGTCTATCTCTGATGTGTAGCATCTTTGACACCAATCTCTTTCTTACTGGGGTTTCTCATCCAAAATTGCAACATTTTCTCAATCGAATTCGTGATTCGATTCCTCTTCAATCGGTGGTGATCCAATCAGTTATGATCGAATGTGGAACGGTTGTGTTTCACTAAATATGTTCCTGTACTCAGCTATTCTCGTCTTCACCTATCTTCCTGTCTGTCCTACGTAGTTCGCAATTTTTGCAACAGATTTCATACACCACATTAGATTTCTTTTCATGCAGAAAGGAATCTTTAAGTACCTTGATGAATTCGCCCAACTTATTAACACTATAAAACGATAATCTAATATCCTCGCTGTTTAAACTATTGAATTTCTCGGAAAATATCAGAACGTAATAGTAAACATGAAGGCGCTTTTGATATTATTACTATCATTTCTTTCTCTTAAAATTAATAATATTTTTCAATCGTTTATTAATACTATTAAAAATAAATTCTAACGAATAATCTCTAACAAGATTTTAATTACAAAACAAAAATTATCAAAATGAAATTTAGGATTTGAAAGCAAAATCATTTTATCTACCAAACCGGCAATCGTGCCCCTCTTCTGAGATATAGGGTGATGAGACAAGAAATTCAAGTACCTCTCTGAAAACATTAATTTATGATACCAATCAAATTTGATTTTATTATTATTAATAATTAAAGTATTAGGTGTATAAATTTGCTTCCGCCGTTTTTTTTCCGAAATTCGAGGCTTTATTGTAAAAAACTAGTTATATATTTATGATTCAAAGTATTGTCCATTTACTTTCTGGCTGGCCACTACTTACTCCCATCTTTCGGGCAACGAATCCCGCGTCGAAAAAACTGGTCATCTTTTGAGGTGATCCACGAATCGATCCAATTTTTTACTTTTTCGTAAGACTGGAAGTATTGGTCAGTCAGGCCGTGTGCCATTGATCGAAACAAGTGATAGTCAGAGGGAGCAATGTCTGGAGAATATGGCGGATAGGGTAGGACTTCTCATTTTAACGTTTCTAAATATATCTTGACCACTTTCGCAACATAGGGTCCGAGCATTGTCATGCTACAAAATCACTTTATCGTTATGTTGCGGGTATTTGTCTTTCAATGCTCGGCTCAAACGCATCAATTGCGTTCGATACTGATCGCCTGTGATTGTTTCAATTGGTTTTAACAGCTCATAATACACTACGTCGAGCTGGTCCCACCAAATACAGAGCATGACCTTGGAGCCGTGAATATTCGGTTTGGCCGTCGACGTGTAAGCATGGCCGGGAACTCCCCATGATTTTCTGCTCTTAGGGTTATCGTAATGAACCCATTTTTCGTCCCCAGTCACAATGCGATGCAGAAATCCTTTCTGTCTTTGCCTTTCAAGCAGCTGTTCACAAGCAAACAAACGCCGTTCAACATCTTTCGGCTTCAACTCGTACGGTACCCAATTTCCTTGCTTCTGAATCATTCCCATGACTTTAAGGCGTTTTGAAATGGCTTGTTGAGTCACTCCCAATGATCGTGCCAATTCTTCTTGATTTTGAGTCTTGATCAAGTAATGCCTACAATTCTGCATCTTCGAAAACCTTTTCTCTTCTACCGCTATGCCGGTCTTTGACGTCAAAATCACTGTTCTTGAAACTACTCACGACACGTTCATTCTTTCACTAATAGCGGCCTCACCATAAGTATTTGAGAGCATTCGATGAGCCTCAGCCGCAGATTTCTTCATATTGAAGCAGAAAATTAAAACCTCCCGCAAATGACGAGAATTTGGCTCGTAAACTGATATTTTCAATCGAGAATAACTTTATGATGCAGACACAAATCGATTAATGTTTCTATGGGGTTATGTTGACAGATGCCCAAATTTATTGTATGATGTCTATAATCTATTTATTTCCACCAACACTTACCGCTAAAGCCATCTATAGGAAAACGGCGGAAGCAAAGTTGTACACCTAATATTTAATTCATATAACATTTTATTTAAAATTATATCAGCAAAAAAAATAATATATGCAAAACATTTTAGGCCGGAATTAGACTACGCATTGAAGATCGAGATTGAAGATTGAAAGATTGAAATTCGACCAATCAAAAAAATAGAAACTAAAATTCTTTTTTTCTCATTGATCAAATTTTTATCTTCAATCTTTAATTTCAATCTTCAATGCGTAGTCTAATTCCAGCCTTACAATAAAGTTTGTCTAATTTATACTCTATTTCTGGTAAATTTATTTAATACTGTTAATTAATAATTTCTATGTTTTTATGTACGTAACAATACAAGTTCCAAAAGTTTCTTTTCATCCATACGATCTCTTAACCAAACTTTCAAATACTAAAATGAAAAACCTCGTTTAGTAAAAGCGAAACTTGTCGGCAGACACAGTAATATTTTAAGTATCTTGCAATTAGTAATTTTTGCATAACGTTGCTTAATGCAATAATCTTAAATCGCAAGAACCTAGAAGTTTCTTAAATATATTTTTGGAATATCAAAATTGTGATTAAGCATTTTAGAAATATTAAAAATGTATGTAACATTTTATTACAAAATATTTTTAAAGAAGATGACTCCAAGAGGGAAGGCATGGCTCTATAGCTCCCCCCCTTTCCCGTGGATTCGCCACTGGAGAGGTGGAAGGGAGGAAAACCATTTTGAAAGAAATTGCATTCAAAAATAGAAAATGTGTGAGAAATAATTACCCACTTTTTTAATTTAAAAAAAAGTTTTTCAAATTTTTTATTGAGCTTCGATAGCACGTACATGCGTGCACGCGCGCGCGTGTGTGTGTGTGTGTGTGTGTGTGTGTGTGTGTAAAGAACAAAATATACAATATGATGTTACAGTGTTCTCGTTGTTCACGTTGGTAAAATTTGACAACGGCATCTGCGACGGATTAAACGGGGAGAACGGCACATGCATTGCGGCAGCGGAATGTGGACAGCGTGGAGGTATCTTCAGCGGCGTTTGCGCAAATGGTTACGGAATCTGTTGTATAAGTAAACAAACATCAAATTGAACGTTTAGACGTTTTAAAAAAAACTTTTTAATCTACATTTTTATTTCATTTTCTAATAGTTACAGTATCCTGCGATGGGATGACTGCCGATAACAACACGCACTTTGTCAATCCAAATTATCCGTCTACCTTCGACGGTATGGAATCATGTCAAGTGACGATAGTAAAATCAGATCCAGATGTATGCCAATATCGGTATATATACACAGATGTATATTATTAAGAATATTTAAAATGTTAATAATAATTGTTAATAAATTTAATAAGTTTATGATTGTATATAATTTAAGAAATATTTAATATTATTTATATTATAATTATATTTACATTATAATAAGATAACCCAGCCTTGGCCCCATTTCCCAAAGTGAGCCATTTGCTGTTTGTATATAATTATATGATTAATTTAATAGATGGTAGAGAGAGAGAGAGAGAGAGAGGGGGGGGGAGAGAGATAGAGAGAGAGAGAATGTTAATTCTAGAAATTTATATATTCGGTTTATTTTTTTATGTTTAAATTTATTATTCAACAACAGAAAATATATGTTTTCTTTGCAAAATGAATTTCAAATTTTCTACATCTTCGTCCTTTTTTAAATAATTAAGTTTTTTAAAAGATACAATAATGCAGTATTTTTTTCTGAAAGTTATTTCTACTTTTCAAAATGCATATTTAAAATATATTTGTAATTTATGTACGAAAAATAAAAATTTTTAAACAAAATATGGTTTTTCAACTATTGTTTACTTTATAGCTTATAACTTTTTTATTAATAAGGATACGTACCGTTATATTCTTTACTATCTGGCGTTTCGATTGAAAAAAAATTTGTTAAAATATGTTCATTTTTATGAATGTTCTGATCAATCAAAGTTGGCTTGGGTGTGTCATTCGAAATGTGACATTTACGTTATAAAAAAAGTCAAAGTGTTTTTAAGGGTTAATATTTTCGTATGAAAAAGTGAAGACGTATACGTGGCTCACATTGGATACATACTTTGTTAAGTTGCCTAAAATGCTACCTTTCTTTTAAATCTCTACTGCATTTATGTACTCGTAAATGTATGAATATGACTCATATTATTTTTTAATGTTCAGAAATGTTTCCTCTTTCGAATGTGATCATCAATTTTCAATTTTAAGCAAAAAATTAGAAAAATTTAAAAGCTTAAAGGGCTCAGTTACCTTACATAATATAAATATAATTTAATAAATATAATTTTATGAAAATATTGTTTTGCTCAGTTTTTCCTGTTTTTTTTAAATGTAGATTAGACTTCGTACAATTCAATATCAGGGGGCCGGAAACAACGAATAATATATGTATTTACGATCAATTCATCGTTTCCGGTGGTAACCCGGTACCAACAATATGCGGTAACAATGATGGAAATCACAGTAAGTACAAAAAAAATTATTTGAAAGATTGGGAAGTAAAGTAATTATCTGGGGTGTGGTCCAGCATTGTCATACAACAAAATCACTTTGCGTTTTCTTTGAGCTATTATTGGACATTTCTGATTCAAAACGATGCAAATCGATTAATTACTGATAACGCTCATAAGGGAACGTTCCAAATTGCAAAAGCGATCATATCAAGAAACTAACATTACTAGTTCACGTTTGAAATAGATATTCAAGATAGTCAAATCTTGTGATCCTGTAAATTTTGTACCCGAGTTGGTACGAAACATATTTGGCCATTTGGCCAACTTCGACAAAAAATGTCTCGAGAACAATACATTTTTGGAAAAAAATGTTTCAAATAAAGTAGCTATCAGATGAGCTACTTAGATTTTGGATTCACCTCTTTTGAGCCCAATAAGGCACAAGTTAATTTTTTCTAAGATCTATTGGGAGTATGCATTAATTTTAAAAGACATTACTTTAAATCCGAAGCGCCACTACGGTCTAAGTATTAAGATGTTGAACTAATATATATATTTTCAAACAAATGAATTAATTTCAGAAATGATAATTACGTGCCGATATGGTTGTCGACATTAACGCAATTGATCTGAAATATTAATAATCCCCCCAAATACCCCAAATTAATCTTAAAAAACTGTAATAAACTTATTGCGAAAAATATTGCCTCGGCTGGGAGTCGAACCCGGATCTCTTGCATTCCGTGCGAGCGTCCTGAGCCTTTAGACTACCGAGACAAACAATTTGGGGAGATTATCATTTTTGAAATTAATTCATTTGTTTGAAAATATATATATTCAACATCTTAATACTTAGACCGTAGTGGCGCTTCGGATTTAAAGTAATGTTATTTAACATAAACGGTCTTGTTTCCTATCTTATTGTTAATTTTAAAAGATTTTTTGGTAAACATATGACTTTATTGTGAAAAAATAGTTACAAATTGGTCATTCAAAATATTATCCATCGCTAGCCAGTACTTTTTTCCCATCTTTTTGGTAATAAGTGAATTCCATATCAAAAGAACAACATATCTTTTGAAACTATCTACGAATCGATCCATTTTTTGGTATCTTCATAAGAATGGAAGCGCTGCTTAGACAGGCCATGAATTATCAATCGAAATAGATGGTAATCGTAAGGAGCAATATCTGGAGAATACGGCGGGTGTGATAGGACATCCCAGTTAAGCGTTTCCTTGATCGGTTTCGCAACATGTGACCAAGCGTTGTCGTGGAAAATCACTTTGTCGTGTCTTTTCGCGTAATCTGGCTGTTTTTGCTTCAATGTTCGGCTCAATTGTATCAATTATTGTTGACAGTGTTTCCCAGTGATGATTTTGTTGGGTTGGAGCAGCTCACACGTATAATACACTATACCCAGCTGATCCCACCAAATACAGAGCATGAGCTTGGCGCCATGAATATATTGACTTTGTCGTCAATGTTGATGGTTCGTCTGGCTTGCGCCAGATTTTTTGCGGATTATCGTAGCGTATCTTGATATCTGCTTCATGACAATGCACTTTCCCATACTACGGTTATTATTATAATATAAATTACACGGCACTTGTTTTTAATAATCTTCCCTACTCTCCCTTGCTCCTGCAGATTTATTTTTGTTCCCTAGACTAAAGGAGGCAATGAAATGGATTCAATTTACATAAGGCAATATCCAAGGATAACTTTTCACAAAGTTTCCACAAGCTGTATGAACGTTGTTAGAAGTGTATTTCCTTTATTTTTGGGGAGATTATTTTTGGAAGACAATAAAGGTTATTTGTATATTAATTAGGCGGTATTTATTTTCTCATCATTCACAAAATTCTATTGCCACATTGTGTATATATTAAGATATTATTTGAAATATCTCACTTCGATCGATTAATAGACTTTCTCATATTATAGTTTGATTTATTCAAATAAATAGTCCGAATTCAAAATCTTAATATTGACAATGTTATTTAATAATATAAGTTGCGATTTGATTCTTTATACGAGTTAAATACTTTTTACAGTGTATATAGACACGGGAATCGGACAAACCAATCCAGTTACTTTAATCTTCGTTACGAGTGGTAATTCTTTTTCACGATCATGGAAAGTTCGAATCTCGCAGATACGATGCAGTACGATATATCGAGCCGAAGAGGGATGTCTTCAGTATTTCACCGGAGTTTCCGGCCAGATAAAATCCTTCAATTACGATCCCATGATTGGGCTACAATTATCAAATCAAGATTACAGTATATGCATCAGGATGGAGAGGAACTTTTGTGGAATCCAGTACATGGCGTGTTCTGACGACGGTATAAAAAAAAAATATATATATATATATAATATATATATATATACATAGAATGTAACAAAAACAAGTAAACATATATGTTTCTTAATGTTCAAAGAGATTTTTTAAAAATCTGAAATTAGATATTTTAGCAATAGTATTAATAACGATTTCCCATTGTTTTTCACTTTGTAAGACTTTGTAAACTGTTTATTGACTTCATATTGATGAGCCGTAAGGGAAGAATCATTTCTTTTTGCTTCTCGATGCCGTACACGTTGATAGAGATGTTGTTGAGATTTTCAAATCTTTTAATTTGACTCAATATCATTAGAAACTGGATGTCTTTAAGATTTAATACCATCGTGGATATGATGACTCTCGATTTGTATGACTTTGAGCTAGGGGTAGAGCGGCTACCACTGATCAAGCAAAACACGCGTTGCCTAAAGATTACACGTTGATTACTGCTTTTTCATTTTAATTTCCCGGTAACTCAATGTGGCATCCCGCGTGCAATGGATTGTCCTTGTTTACGTTAATAGTCAAATTTAGGATACGCGACAGCGTCCACCCGGTATCGCGCTCCTGAAATTCCTCGAGCGATGCTAAGATGAGCTCGACAATGCGCGACGCGTACCATTCTTGTAAATCGGACAAACTAAAGAGTTCATAGTTTTTCGTACTGACATTTTTATTCGCGTTTATTACTCGATATAAATTCACCTTTAAATACTGTGTTTACTTTAATGTTGTCATGTTTCTGCGTAACAATTTGTACACGCTCAAGAATAATTTCTCTTGCGTCTTCAAGAAACTTGTGAGGTTCGATGTGTCCAGAGTTTATTACGGCACCGATCTGTATACCGCTTTCGAAAGATGTATCTATCTCGCGCCATGTGAGTCCCGCGCCGACACCCACGTGCACGCACCGAATCCTTTAAATTTTCGAGTCGTGCGATTATCTATTACCGATCGATAATCGCGTTTAATGCTGCTTTGTGTCTTCAGCGATTCAATAAAATCGTTGCATCGTTATTCATACGCAAGATCTTCTCGCGTATTCAACTGAACGGCTTGCGCCTCCAAATAATTCTCCGTTTACTCCATATTATAATATCCTCTTTTTTATAATCTTTTTATTAAAAAAGTTTTAAAAAAATGTATATTTTTTTAGTCTGTTTTTAAATCTTTGACAAAACTTTCACAACACCTTGTATCACTGTGTGCAAATAGGACACATGTTACACGGCATTATTTGATAAAGGAAACTTTTGCATTCCGAACAGGAATAACTTTTGAGAATCGCACATATATCGATATCATGTTTTCGAATGACACAAAGACTTGAAAATTGATCGTTTATTCTTATGATGCATGATGAGCAATATCTTCTATGATCATCAGTGTAGTAGAATGCAGCATATCTTTTTCATAGGACGTAAGGTGTTTACTTGAGTTCTATTTAAATCTCGCCATATTACTTCAATTATATCATCATTTTCCATATCACTGCCGAAACACGAATCATTTGACATTTGGCATGATCTTCATCGGACATTTCCTGGTCAGACATTTCTTCATATTGATTTATTTCTTCGTCCATTCGTAACGTGTGTATCGTATAATGCATAGAAAAAGCTAATATTATTTTTAGATTGAAAAGCATAAAGATATGCTCCATGCATATCTGTAAATGAATAAAAATGCGTTCAGATGTAAAAAAAAAATTTATTTTAACGTTTGCGAATGCATATTTCTCAAAATCTGACTCCATTTCAATTCATTTCAATCAATTTCGTTTACTAGGAATGTGCTTCGTGAGTGATTTGCTATATCGATTTATAATAAATACTTATTAATATGCATAGATATATATAAAATTCAAATTTTTATGCCGATTTCTATTTTTTTTTGCATTAATGTGGACCCTGTTTTATAATGCGGAAAATTATGTTATCGTCGTCTGTGCCAGCCAAAATATAATGATTGTTCATGTGGTAGAATGGCATCATCGTTCGTAAGCCATTCACAGCGTGTTGCATTTTCATTTGGAATTTCTGAAAATAATTGTAATTATATGTTATTTAATCTTAGAATTATTTCGTGTCATTGTATAAGAAATTCTTTAATGAGACAAGGAGAAAGAGAGAAAGAAAGAGATGAGCGGGGAAAAGTAAAGAGGATTCGTTCCTTTTATTTATAGATAAGACAGTAAATTTACCCCGGCAAACATATATTCATAAATATAAAACTGTCCACTCTGGGTCGTCACAATCACAAACACATCGCTGTTGCCATACTCTGCAGGAGAAAATAAGTTCGTGCATTATCATAAATAAATCATAATAAAATCATATATAACAAAATCTCAACCATAATAATAATTGTCAATAAATTGCGCAGAAACATGATATAAATATACGTTATGTGCGCCTTCTAATTATATTAATTTATCATTTCGATAATCATACCATCGGTGTAGAAATACTCAATCCCGTTAATCTGACCCCCCCCCCTCTCTCTATTGAGAAAATTTTTAAAATTTTGTGGCGCGCTTTGTATATATATATATATATATATATATATATATATATACATAAGTTATATGTAAAACATAAGTTTTACAGAAATGTGTTTCAGATAAAAGTTGTAGCGTTTAAAAAGATCTATTTAATAATCTTATCAGTTTAACTTTGGGTAGCGTCACCAATGTCATGTCAAAGTTACATCGATTTTTTTAAATGAATGCCATATTTTTGATTCCAGAGAGAGAGAATCTAATATATATAAATATATATAATTCTTTTACAGCTCAAGAGATGTCCACTACATTAAGTACAACTCAAATAATGCGTAGCAATTCATTCACTCTGACGGGAAATACACAAACCACGCAAATTATGTCGATGACAGGAACATCCTGTATGACCGATTGGTTGTCAATACCGTGCGCCACAAATCTTGATCGATTACCATCGACATCAATGACATGCGTCGATCGATTGTGTGGTGGTACCTTCAACTCGGAAACCTTGAACTTAAATGGCTCGTCTGTTATTAGTGAGTCTGTTATTATTTTTATTGTGACGCTATCACTCTTCTTTTTTTCTTCCCTCTCCCTCCCTCTCTCTCTCTCTCTCTCCTCCCCCCTCTCTATCACTCTCTGTCTCTCTATAAGTAATCGCACTGATATGTTTCTTTGCTGCTCTGTATTTTGAACTCTTTACTGCTGTTCGCTGCCCTCCTGGGCCTTCTTTTTTCAAACCACTAATCAAGAGCTGTAATTCTTGACACCATTATTCGTCGCAAGTACCATCGCCAGTACATAGCTGAGTTCTACCCACCTTTTCGAAACCGTGATGGGCAAAAATTTCTCTGGCATCTTGGATCAGTGATGCCATTTTAGAGCCGGTTTACGACATCAAGTCGGCGACACATGCGGCGCGCCATGCGATCGGTAGTCACACACACAAGCATGACGCTATGTCCATGTGCGCACGAGTTTCGAGCGTCTTCGGCTAGCTTCGTTGAGGCATTCGGACGTGTTACGAGCGAACGAGACAGTGTTTCTCGAGATTGTGAGACTAATTCTACAATGTGCTCTTTGTTTCCTGTTTCTTGCTGTTTGTTTCTCGAGCATGTATCGAGGGGCATGGAGACATTTTAGATAATATGTAAGTTTTAATAACAGTAAACCCTTCCCGTCAATCCATAATAGCATTAATCATGTCAAAACGTAATAATTAACGAAGTATTAATTATTTAAAATTAATTTTCCATGGAAGTTATATACCATGTTTATAAGTCAGAAACGTAACTAGTTAGCGCGATCAAGCTGATTTTTTCCTTTTTTTCAGAGATTTCCGGAAAAAAAATATTTTATATATAATTATATAAAATCATATATAATTTTATATACATATTTGTATATATAAATGGATATATTTTATATATAATTATATATAATTATACATAATTTTATACATAATTTTATACAATTATATATACATATAAAATTATATAATTTTATATAATTATATATAAAATAGTTTTTCCTGGGTTTTTTTAAACTATACGGTAGATGTTAATAGTAAAAATATTAAGCCCAATATATTTTCACATAATTATTGAAATTATTCGTGTGTGTACTTGTAATTGTAAGAAGAATTTGTATTTCAATAGACAAAGAATTACTTTAAAATTGCACATATAAAGGCATTTATTTGTACATTTCAAACTTACATTAGCATTATCTTCATAATTATATAAATAATTTTGCTTTTGCAATTTCTTCCATTATCAGAATTTTCACATAAGTTCGAATGATAGTTATAAAAAAAAATTTAAAACGAAGTATCGATCAATACTAAGATCGAACAATATATTCTTATACTATATAATTATTGCAATTATTCGTATATTTTTAAACTAACTGTAGAAAGAATAATGATTCACGACATGCATGATATGTGTTAAACTTAATTGATGAAAAATTTTTATATGTAAATTAAATTTGATTTCCTTTAAACGAATCCAAAAAGAAATCATGTTTTGTAATGATTGCGCCTGTCAAATGCGCTTAATGTTGATATTTTGTTTTAAATGTTTTTTTAATTATCATCCAAACTTATATGAAAATTCTGATAATGAAAGAAATTACAAAAGTGAAATTATTTACATAGTGAGTGCAAAAAGAATTCGTATAGAGAAAATATTAAAAAAAAAACTATATTTAAAAAAAATTAGGTGTACAAATAAGTTTCCGTCGTTTTTTATCAAAAATTAAGCATTTATTGATGTGAAATTACTTGTTGAACCGCT